ATTGTATGTTAGGGACATTTAGACAAACTGGACATCCTAACGTCTGACGGGTTTTAGGAGCGAAAGGTGAGTACCAAAAGTATACGAGGCTTAGGCTTCAAAACACACTTTGGTAAGACTGCTAACCTTGCTGACGAAACACTTGTGCCGCGTCCGCACGCTTGACTAACCTCAATACATCTTCAGAAACGTAAATGTGTGGATCTCTATCCGTTTGATTTGGTTTCCAAGCGCTTGCAGCTGATCCGACATAGTACGTACGTATAGGGTTTTGGTCCCAAATCAAAGAGCTCTGCTGCAAGCGCATGTGTCCATACGTTTGTTCGCCCTCAGTCACGGTTATGCACTGGTGGCGAATAGACGTAAGTTTGTTCTATAATAGCCTAGACCTCTAGTGTTGTACAACTAATCTGAATTTCATTCAGCTCAGCTCAGTACTTCGTTTATTTGAATTAGTCATTTGACTTGCTTAACTCAGCAGCAAGAAGGTTTCGCTGCAGTTTTAATTTCTACTGCCTCATTACTGTAAACATAAACATATTTCACATTCAATAAATTATTTTTTCTTGCCGTACTTTTCGTTTTCTTTGGCTTATTCTTTTGTTTTTATAGCAAAAATAAGTTGATCTAAATGTTACGGCCGGCACAATTTCGGTATCCGTCATGCTTGCTGCTTCAGAACAGTGACGTACCCGCAAACAAGTGGATGACGACGTCTTCAAACAAGCCAAACCTTCGTGGAGATTTGGAGTTTGCGGTAAGTGACAAGCGTGCGGTCATGGCATTAGAGGTTCTCTCTGCCTGGGAATGAAGGAAAGTGTTGCTATTAGTTTATAAGTTTGCTCTGTACCTTAGGTTTTAATTAGAGGTGGAACTTCACAAAGACACAGTTTCGGGTTGTGGAGTTTACATTTTCTGATCCAAGAAGACTCAAGAGAACCCAAGGTGATCCGAGATAATCCAAGCGCAACCGAGGCACTGCAAAGACAAATGTCCAAAAATGGACCTCCATTTTGCTATGGATATAATAGTTGAAAGTACATATGCGTTCATGAATTGTAGTTGGAAATTATTATTATAAGAGATACTTTCCAAAAAGAGCCGCTACGGCGTAATGGAATAGTAGATAATGCAGAGCCAATAAGACCAGGTGTCCGCTTTATGGAACTTATCTTTATCGAAAGCAGGTCCAGTAATTTTATCTGAATAAATTCAAGAGTTGCCAACAAGAAACCTGTAAAACCCGGCCTGGAATACTTCACATCGAAGAGTGTTCGACAATTTGGCCCTCCTATCTCTGCTCTATGATGCCGTGTGTCTGGTTAGGTGGACTCGCCAGGCTCTTGCTTGAAATTAGCTTCCAAAAAGACGGAAGTTGTTATATTTTCTGAGAGACGGAAGCTAACTGTGTGACTCGACAAAGATCTGAAAATGGTTGAACATATGAGGCACACCACTGACAAGATAAATATAATAAAATTATAGCATCTCGGTACGGTTTCTGGTGGCCCCAGTAGTGTGAGGCGCATGTTTTTTGGCAGGAGTGGAAAACTTGATTATACTGCTCCTATCTATAACAATATTTCTCGAGGAAAAAGAAATATAGACAGCTAATGCTAAGAAGCCGGCGAAAAATGGTGCTGCATGTAATATACGCTTACAAAATGGTTTCGACCCATGCACTGCTGGTGGGGCTGGCATCCCGCCATTTGAAGAGAAGATGCGCGCTCTACGAAAAAGGCCCCGAAGTTAGAAGCGACTAAAGGGAGAAGCTTTTTGTAAGCTAGCAGGAGAGATGCAACTGGCCATGGCGTATGGACTAGAAAGATGATTCCAGATATTAAAACTTGGATTGACAAGAGAGCGGTGAGGATAGATTACGGTTACTGCACAGTTCCTCACAGGACATGCTTGTTTTGACAGCTATCTTAAGAGGGTAGGAAAGAGAGAGTATACGAACTGCGTATATTCTAACGAAGATGAGGATACTCCTTGACATCTATTCGGACATGGTGGATGGGTTGACTACCAAAGAAACATGAAAATGGTGCTCGACGAGAGGCTCACTGCTGACAATTTTGCCGGGCATATAGGTGAGTGCAAATCGGTTGACATTCAACCAATAGAGTAAGGTACTAGTTGATAAAACTAGACCAAGGAACCAACAATGAGCTTATAGTAGCTGGATTGTATAGGTATGTATGTATTGGTACGACGCTAGAAATAAGATGACTAAGTACCCCTGGTATAGCGACGCTGCCTGATCATTGTGGTATCGTAGCGTTACCGTGGTGTGTAGCGAATGACGGGTTTATATATTTTATATTTTTGGAGAATCTCACACTTCCATCAAGAATGGCCGAATGATTGATAATGTCAAGATTTTCTGTCTGAGGGTAGCCACCTTCCACTGTCCAAAAACAAACATGCTTAAGAGAAGCCGTGGTAACCACTGTACCTACTTAAATGCTCCGTTCCTATGCTTTGGTATGAAAACAGAATACCAGCTGTTTTGTGTTGGTTTAGAGAACTGTGTAGAAGTCGAATAATCGAATATGTGACCAGTGCACACAGAAATTTATGCCCCTTGAATAATCTATATCTAGTGCGGTGTGCGCTTAACGGCGAACAGATACCATCTATGGAACCTCTCCAAAATACGATACGATATATTAATGCAATACATGTTGTGCACTTGTACCGAAACACGATACTCCGGATTTGCGATTGAATTGAAAACTAGTTTTTGAACTGTTGGGCGCAGTGGAAAGTTAGATTAACGTGTCTGAGCTCAGGATTATCCATGTAAGCTTGTTAATACCCATGAGGAATAGATAAAGTCGGAAAGTATGAGCCACATCCGTATTATGTAAAATAATCGCTATGCTAACGATTGGCACTCACGTAACTTAAAAAATGACGTCAAGTAGCATGACTCTGCGCTCCCTACGCAACACCGTTATCAGCTGATATATAATTAAGTTCAACACAATTTAAATCTTCTGAGAAAAAAGTCAGTCATAAAAGAGAAATTCTTTCCCTGCCCTACCGCTAGCTACTGTTTATCTGACAACGTTGTCTCTTCACACATCTGCGCGGCAGCACCCACCGTGACACCATTGTAGGCTGCAGCGAGCTTTCGTCTATTCCGCGTATGTATTTTGTGCGTCGCAGTACGGAAAGATTAGTCAGCCATACCGGTACGTCAAACGGTGAGCTTCGGCACGAAGAGTAGGCGGATTTAAAACGTTTCTCTATTATTCCACGTTTTAAAGACAAATGCAATCTATGATGTGTGAAATTGATGCTTTGTTCTTTGACCTTCCAGAGGCTCCTGATCATTTTCAGAAAAACTCTTGTAGGGTTTGGAATTTGGGGGTTGTATAAGCACCATGTGATTTTCAATTTTTGCATCTTTTTGCCCCTAGCTCCGCCGCTACTGGACCGATTTTCAAAAAAAATTTTATGTCTTTGGCATGCAATGAGATTGTGTAAAAATTTCATACAAATCCGAACGGTATTTCAAAAGTTAGGCGGTCCCAGGATTAGCGGACACACAGACAGACCGATGGAAATAAGTGACATGGCTTTTCGTGATGTACACATACAGAGTGTGGCAAAAAGCAACACAATTGAAAGTGATACAAAATGTGTTATTGCTTATAATCCAAGAGTATTCATGTAAATTTATTAAAATAACTTTAAACATTCCGATTTAATACGTTCAAGGGCTGAAAATTATGCCTTTCAAATAATGTGCTTCTTTGAGCATGCATTTTTCCAGTCTTGCACTGGACATTGCAGGAGACAGGTCGGCAATTTCGTGGCTTATGGCTTCTTTAAGTTCGTCCAGTGTGCGGGGTTTGTTTGTGTAAACTCATTATTTCTGGAACCCCCACAAATGTTAAGGTCTGGAGACCGAGGTGGCCAAGCAGCGTACCCAAAACGTGAGATTACTCGGCCAAGAAACTTACTTACTTAGCTTTATTAGCTGTATGGGCAGTAGCGAAGGAAGTAAAAGTCGTAAAATCGATTTTAATGACATTAGGGTTTAAAAACAATGTCACCTTTGAACTAGCTGCCATTCAGTTTATGTTCACTCGTACTAGTTGTGTGTGTTGCCTAAACGTCATGACACTTCAGCTATATATGGTTTTGCTCTGATGTGATGTACTCGTATGTACCATCTGGTTCGGGCATGGCACAAGCGCATGCCATTCATAGCTTCTATAGCTCAAGCTCAAGCTGTAAATTCTATACTATAAGTTGTTGTGACATTCCTCCATAAGTGGAGTTCACGACTAGTGACTAGCTACAAGTTGATGCTAAACCGATGTTTAATGACATCATGTCTGTAAACTTTTATATACTATTTAATGACGGTAATAAATATTATCATTATATCGTTTAATCACATAATATCGCACTTGATACTAGGTAATCTCATAGCTCACGACCGCTATTTGCCTGAATCAACCAATTCAGACTTGGTAGAAGGAGCAAGCCTACGATTTGCTTGTCTAAAACATCTCAGTCTGCAGTCAAGACGAAAGTGAACTTGTCATAAGTTAATTTTTTGACAGTCAGTAAATTTGATATTGCAAATGCAAACAATGCAATGTAAAAATATAGGCTTGACTCCTAATTTATATGAATTCGTTAGCATGAACTGCTAGAACTTACAGCCTAGGCCAGACAAGCTATAAATGGCCTCCGCTGGTGCCATCTCGGAAACAGATGCTACATTGAATCAAATACCTGTGACCGTAAAGTTTACAACACAGAAGATTTTTCAACACATGTGGTCAGGTAAATATAGGGGATTATCGAAATGAACACCATAGATTAAGTTTCAGATGTTATATTGATAATTTTTTTTCCGATTTTTGGTCAAGATTTTGAAGTCATGGTAAAATTTAATTTCATTTTCTAAAAACTTCAGCAATGTCTGTTGATGTCAGTTCTAGCGGTATTGTGAAAAAGTTGCAGTGGATTTTTACCTAAATTGCCCATCCCATCAACCAAAGCCAGGGGAGTAATTTCCTCTGGAACGCTTAAACTTTCTAACTTGTCAGGAGCTTTAAAAGCTCGTGGAGTTGAATCTGCTCACTTGAGGGTGCCGTGAAGCATACGTCAGTTTCTGCAACGATAACAAAGTTTTACGTGAGAACAGGGACAATTTTCAGGCAGGTTCAGATAAGATTTTCGGCAAGATAAGTTAAAAACTAGCATTGAATTAGGATAGTTATAAACGTTTGCCGTTCAACCACAGAAGTATAGCAAGCGGTTGACCCGGCAGAAGCACACCAGAAGCGTTGAAAATCATTCCAAATTAGATTTCGACAACCCTACCCTACAACAAAAACAATCGAAAAACCTAGTAACTCAAAAAGCATCAATTTTGGCAAACTTCATTCAAATTCTTTCTTATTTTATTGTGAATTGCTGCGCTGTATGAGATAAACTTTTCGTAATGCAACTTACATATAGTACAAATTTTTCTCTTTTATCTTATCGAAAAAATGTCTTTTGTGTGTCTTTAAAAAGTACCTAGTGGGTTTTGGTTGTACTGCTTCTACCTGGGTGGTTAAATGAAAAACTTAGCAAGACTAATATTTGATGAATGAACAATAACAGTAATTAGTACCTATCTATAATTCAGAATAAGAAAAGTAGCAAGTCTTCCTATTTAAAGCTGTTCAGAAATGAATTTAAAACTACATTGAATAGACATGAACTGCATCAAAATATCTAGTTTCTAGTTCTTTCGCTAGTAATTATTGAACGAAGTTATAGTTAACTCAGTATACTAGGTTTTGTGATTGCATACATGATTGCGATCATTAAAAAAGCCAGAAAAGAGGAGGTACCTTTTTTTAAAAGAATGCATATTATTAATAGTAACTTGGCTTATCGAAAATAATTTAGTGGCGCTCGGTTATTGAATGAAACGCTTTCTTGCCTATATTACTCTCCTGTTCAGCAAGAGTTATAACCTGACGGATCATTTAACAGTTCTGACATTGAAAAAGTAGAAAAACATTTATGACTTAGGAAAACTGGGACATGTGCGATATCATGCAAGTACAATCAATCATTTTTTAGTGCTTTGCCACTGCATTTATAATTCAAGTCGAACATGAAATTGGTAGTTGTTAGCTAACAGTGCATCAAAAACTTCTTAAAATAGGTAACGAGCCGGTACGATTAAGTTTCACATTTCCTTCAACGATTATTCTTAGGTTTTGTTCGAAATGAAACACAACCAAGACTGTATCAGTCGTCAATCACATATCTGCTCTCAGGCAGATTATTTATTCGACGAATCTTTAGTGAGAAGCAGAAGCCTTGAGGATTTGTCGGGCAGGTCTAACGCATCATGAGTATAGTCGAACCAGCAGCACCCCAAATGCGTGACCGCTATTTCAAGACGTATACTAAGTGACATATAAATCCGAACACCCAGTTTAAATGGTTTTATTTTAATAAAAGTTGGTGAATGTATTTATCTTACTGTAAATAACAAGTGGAAAAATTTTCAGCCTGATCAGTTGGACATTCCGGTTTTTATACTGCTTTTTTTTAATTCACTAACGCTCTAAAGATGAATATTTCAGCCGCAGTAAAGAATCAACGTTGGCGGATTTTGGTTCTTGACATTCTTTACGATCGGTTACGATGCCTAGAGCACGCAGACCTGTACGATTTCGTCAACTTGTGAGTTTGATAGGGGCCGTATAGTGGGACTTCGGGAAGCTGGACTTTATTTTCGGGCAATTGCAGTTAGAGTGCAAAGAAGTGTAGACACTGCTGTTAGGTGTTGTCAGGCATGGCTTCGAGAAGGCCGTAGCCAAAGAGCAAGGGGCACTGGACGCCGCCGTAGAACAACAGACCGTGAAGATCGCCGCCTAAGATTATTGGCCTTAAGGGACCGTTTCTCCACTACCAGGTCCATTGCAAATGAATGGTTTGCAGAACACGGAAGACCTATTGGCATGCGAAGTGTTTACCGACGAATGAGAAGCTTTGGCTTGTTTTCATACCGGCCACACTGGGTGCTCCCTTTAACTCGAGAACACCGACGTAATCGCCTTGAGTGGTGCAGACAACGGTCACTCTGGGATCAGGAATGGAACAGTATTGTCTTTAGTGACGAGTCTCGATTTTGTTTAGGCATGCACGATGGCCATGCCAGGGTTAGAAGGCGACGTGGTGAAAGGATGAATCCACAGTTTTTTGTTGAAAGACATGTTCATCACACTGTTGGAGTTATGGTTTGGGGTGCTAAAGCTTATGGTTCCAGGTCACCTTTAATCTTCATCAGAGGTAACATGAAGGCGCAGCGTTATATCCACGAAGTTCTAGAACCCCATCTTTTACCCTATCTTGACACCCTGGCAGATCCAACTTTCCAACAAGATAATGCCCGACCACATGTTGCAAGAGTCACAATAGACTTCTTTCAACATAATGATATCACATTGTTACCATGGCCACCAAGATCTCCCGACTTATCCCCAATTGAGCACGTGTGGGATATGATGGGTAGGAGATTGCTCAATTTGCAACGTCCTCCTCAGACTCTAGAAGCACTTCGAGAGGAGTTGGTGGTTGCCTGGAATGAGATTCCACAGGAGGACATTGACCACCTGATCAGAAGCATGCCTAGGCGCGTTGGAGAATGCGTAGCACATCAGGGTGCATCCACACATTATTAAAGGTCAAAGGGCATTAAAACAGTGCAATCATTTTGAAATTTTTATCATTTACCTATTATGCTTCATTAAGTACTTATACAAAATTTTATTAAAATAAAACTATTTAAACTGGGTGTTCGGATTTATATGTCACTTAGTATATCTATTCTTTGTACAGAGTAAGATTATGTGGAAACAAGTATGCATATTAAATACCCCCGACTCGAATCTCGAGCTTATCCTTTTATTGCCAAAGCTCTATTAAATATCCACCCTAGACAGACAATATTTTTGACTAAAAAAATTGCACACAAATTAATCCATCCATGGGTGTGGGAGTGGTGTCGACGGTTAAGATGCATACAGGAAAATGGTCTAACTTTTAAATGGATTAACTGATTTTCACCAGAAGACCGATTCACCGATCTAACAACAAAAAACTAAACCCTTTCATCTGGTACCTTATTGAGGCAGGCTCCCTTAGTTTGAATTGATTATACCAGGTCCACATTCTCCATTACCACGAAACAGATGAACCGAGTTTTAATAAACATAGCCAAGAATCATCACGACAGACAGGACTTTTGGTAAAAAAAGGACGAGTTTAAATTGGTTCCTGCGTTTGGGACTTTTTGAGTCACGGGATAAAAATAATAAAAAAAGAGTTTAGCTCTGGAACAACTCGATGGATTTCCATGAAAGGAGTGATTTAGTAATATGCAAATTAAAACTCTTCCATCTGATATCCCATTCCTACATATTCGCTTACTTTGGCTGATTCATCCCCCAACGTTCACCTCCATAACTTTTGAACGGTGGACACATTGTCATCAGGCATAGCTAAGAAGCACCTTGGCAGCTACATCTTTCGATTGAAAATACCGCACTCCAATCAGTCCATCCGTTGGGGAGTTACGATGCTACAGACACACATGCTAAACATACAACGGGGTTTAAAAAGTACCTTGTAGACTCAAACAGATATCCCAGCTGCTGCATAGAACTGCAGTAATTGACGAGAAGTTTTCTAAAGCTCAATCACAGAGACCTGTTTGTAACTGTAGGGGAAGTCCGGGAGACTTGCCCCTCCCAATTTATTATTGGTGATAAAATTTGTTCCTATTTATATAAATCAATAAATTTTAGATGCCTTCGTAGCATATATTTTTAGGAACCTTGTTTTATCATTTAAACCTTAAAAAAATAAGTCAGTAAAAAATATATAGTTTTTTTATTTTTTTGAAAACATGGGCAACTCTCCCACATATGCGGGGGAGACTTTCCCATAGTCAGAAGGAGAGTTGCCCACCCCCCTTATTAAATAAAAACAAATTTAAATAGTAACTTTTGTATTCTAAAAACTCAAAAAATAAAACAAAAAACTCTACTTATTCAAGTACGAAACTAAATCTAAATCTTTGAAATCAGAATAAACATAGGTTTACTGCAAAAAATAAATAAAAACAATTTTAAAAAAGTATGAACCTTCTGGGCCATCAGAAACGAAGTCTTCTCGATATTTGATACGAGGGAATATAAAAAAGGGTGGAATAACGCTTCCAATTGCATTGACTGCAAAACAAACTGTCACCAAAGTGCCCCTCTCTGATGAAGTAACTTGACCAACCTGGTTCAAACTTAAATTTTTCTCGTACAATCCTTAAGTTTTGAAAAAAATCGTGTACATTCTTCCGACTGAAGCTTGTAGATCGTGACAAGCTTGTTGCCTTCGGAGTTCTTAAACTAATTTCGGGATTTCTTGATAACAAACCGCGAAACCAATCCTTCCCTGCCATACTATTTTTTGTCCAACTTTCTGGAATTTTTTTGAAATTCGAAACTGCAAACTCAAAAGCTAATTTCATTCCTTGTTTTCGAGTAAGTCCATAGTGCATTTTGCTGCAATTTAAAAAATATTCAACCAGAAGCTTCTCTTCTTGTATGATGAATATTTGTCAAGTATTATGCTGGCCTTTAGTTTCTATTTTTTCAAGTTTATTTTCATTGTTTTTGTAGCGTCTCAAAGTCCTCCGATCAGTGTCATATTTTGCAGAAGTCTTTCGAAGAATTCCTAGTTCATCTAGTGCATTTTTAAGAACATCCTTATCAAGTTTTTTGCGAGTGGAACCGTCTTTTGTTTTGTACTTAAATGGCATTGTACAGACCTGTAATAAAAAAAAAATGCATCAACTTTTACTAAAAGTAATTAAAAATAAATACCAGTTTAGAATTACATCAGAGAGGGAGAGTTGCCCCTCTGGGCAAGCCTCCCTCCTGAGGTATGGGCCAGTCTCCCACACCTTTCTGTTTCAGGTTAGGTTCAATTTTCTTAAAAATCATGAATAGTGCACGTTTAACATTTATGGTGCATAAATCTACAATGTCTAATTAATATACCCACACAAGAATCTAAAATTTACCTTTTAATTTGCTCACAAAATCACGAAATT